GTACACTAACTCATCTCCTTGAATGCTTTTAGAAAGCCCACAAATGTGAATTAAGTTTTTACCATCAAGGTGGGGCGTGTTAAAAGAGTGAGAGCTTTTTCAATCAATCCTGACATTATAAGAATAAAGAGAGAAATAAAAATCTTTTCATCTTCTTTGATAGATTTCTCGCTGTATGATTTTTGAATGTCTGTAGAAAGTGCTAAAAGGGCCTTGCTCTTTGATTCTGAGGGACTCGCTTTAGAATCCCGAGATTATTTTTTTAGCCTGATAGAGAAAATGTCTTCTGTTAAACTCCATTATACTGGAGCTGCACAGAAAATCTGTTTATTTGACTTCACAGAAATAAGAAAAAATAATTTGGTGCTTTCAGAATGACAAACATAAATGATGATTTTGTGCTTTTCTCTGTTTAATACACAGTTATATATAGCATGCTATAATAGCACTGACCAGAAATGAAATTACAACTCCACTATGGACAGTAAAAGCCATAGGATTATGCTTATCCTACACAGCTCTGATGAGGAAGAAGAAGATAATGAAAAGAGGCCCAACACAACATCAGATTTCAAAGATCCGTTCCTACTTAATGTGTGTTATTTTTTTTTTTTGTGGTGCAAGGTTTCTTTGCTTTCTCCTCCGTCCAGTTTTCCAGGCTATATCGGGATGCATCTGTTTGACAGGACAAGATACTAATGAGGTTCACTCATACAAACACTCAGCAAAGAAACACACACACACTCACTCTTACAAGAAATGTCATGAAGTCAATCGTCGCAGTCATGTGATGCGGGAGAGTTATGTAAGTTCTAAACATATGATCTTTCAGGACTCCACTTAGTTTGGGTAAACATGACACCACTGTCAACACACACACACACACACACACACACATACGTCACAGACACAGAGAACCTCTAGGCATGTTATAACCCACACGATATCTTCACAAGACTGACGTGAGCAAACAGTTGTCCTTTAAAATGACTGCAAAGTTAAAATTAAATGTCTAATTACAATATCTGATGTGACTAATGCTGAGCAGATTTTACTATTAGCTGTTTTGGCAGCATTTAAGCCACCTTTCGTGCCCATTGAGGAGTACAGTAGCACGGCCAAACAGAAAAGTGTCAGCCTTCCTGCATGCTCAGCCAATCCACTTCCCTGAAGACTGCACTGTTATCAAGTCCGCTGTCATTAAGATTCCTATCAGCTGCTGCAAAACACAATCCACTCTGCTCACTTCAGCAGCAGCAGCAGTCAATTCCCATCCCAGACTGCTCCTGGGTGATCGGGTGTCTACTTTTTCTCCCTCATTCTCAGCAGGAGGAAGAGGATTATTACCTGTATGGGATTTTTGGAACAATAACTTTTCGTACGCGATATGAGTGTCTCGTTGTGAGTGAAGACAATGCATTATGTCAGAGACAATGGCAAAGTTTCCTCAGTGTAATCCGAGCGTTAGGACACACAATGCCTGACAGCTGGAGACAGGGAACTAAAAACAACCTGGCTGAGAGTGTGACGCAGCAGAGGGGAGATTTATTAACTACATGACAGCACGTTTTAGCCTCGGCTTACAAGATTATACGAGAAAAGGCATGTTTGATTCATTCTATAGGGAAGAAAAAGGAGTCAGAGAGGGAGCGGGAGAAGCCCAGATGATATTATTTACTGAGCAAACACTCAGGGACCTCAGCTGATCAGCACAGAACACAGTGTTCAGGGACACACACACACACACACAAACGCACACTTGCTGAACCTCTAGGCATTGGACTGTGACGTGACAGCCGTACATACAAACCCGAGCGAGGCCTGCTTACGGTTCAGAGTATTCTGACATGCAAATGGGCCCGACAGGCAGTACTGAACAAGCAAAGTTAAATTCACCGACTGTAACCGATGTCAAAGTGTTGCCAATTCTCCACTTGACAGGTTGAAATCAGTGTGTGCGATGAAAAGGTATTTAGATGCAGCTCCAGTTTTCATTCTTTTGAATAAACTCTCTCTCTCTCTGTTTTGCCAGTCTTTAGCCCTTCAGCTCCTCAAAACAGCGCACCGGAATTCATCAAATTAATAACCTTTAACGACCTCCCTCCCACAAATGTTTTTTTGCCGTCTTTATGGGAAAACAAGTGACATTGCAATGAAGAGAGAAGACAGGTGTGTGTGTGTGTGTGTGTGTCTGACTGAGCTTGTGTGCATGCATGTGTGATTTAACTACCCCACACAGGTTTGGAGGCTTTGCCTTTAGGTTGCTAAGAAACACAGAGATTAAAGGGATTAGTGGTAAGTTTGCATATCGAAGTCTTCTCATCAGAAGGAGGGAGGCTAAAGAAACAAAAAAAGAGGGCAGTGCAACCATGAAAAGTACAAACTAATGGAGAAAAAAATTTAGCAAAAGAGACAGAGCTTATGTGCAAAGGTAGAAAAGATGGATGGGAGAGGAGGGTGGGCGGATGAGAGAGTGACGGGGCAGCAGACAAGGAGATGAGTCGTGTAGGAGGACCTGTGGGCTGGCTTGAGCGCTAACAGATGATTTACAGAAACTGAGATATCAAGAGAGGTTCATAGCAAGAGGAGTAACGGGGAAAAAGAGATGGATAACGAGTGTAAGTAGGTGATGTATTGTGAGAAAGACAACTGTTTAGAAAAAGTGAAGGAGAGGGGAGGGATGTTGTTCAACAAGTGGATCGTATAAAGCGAATTTGGCCGCAAGTCAAAGTGGAGACGTGAGAACATTTCTTTCACACGTCTGCGTATCAACAAATAAAGTCCGGGATCAGATAACCGCTTTACGGAGATCTTTTAAGAGACACACACACATTTGCCCACACATGCACACAAGACACATACTGTATACGGCAGTCTTGCGCCATACTACAACAGTTGTCATGGTTACGGTGCTTCTCAACTACCTACAGTGGTGTCAGTCTCCCTGGATGCTCCGCAGGGAGCCAAGTGTAAGCACTTCATTCATCTGCCACTGTCTCTGTAACACCTCAGGCTGCATACCATCACTCACGCATGGTAAATGAAAAATAATCACAGTTTGATGGGGGGGGGGAGGCAGCTGTAAGGATTACCAGTGGCAAGCAAGGTGTGTGTTATTAAGATTGAGAAGAGAAAAGAACTGTTTTAGGAGAGAGCAGAGTGAAGGAACATAAAGAAAAACTGAAAACAAGATGAAGAGAAACAAGGCGTCACCTTCAACACCACAAAAAAAAAAAAGACTGAGCAAATAAAGAGTTTCTTTCCAAATGGAGATATTCTCCATTTAAAGAAACCCGTTACAACACAACTGTTGGTGCAATAATAAATGAGTCCTCCTGCGGTATTTAAGTTCTATGTTTGAGGGTCAGATGATGAAGATCTTTGAAATGTTGACAGGAATTTGATGCACAAAACACACTTTTTAAAAACATACAGATTTTAGAACAAAATCCGCTGTGTGCTCGTGTCCATGCTTACCGCTGCTCAACACCGTGACGCGAGGAGTCACATCCAGGTCCAGGGGCGTTCTGAACGGGTAGCCGGCTGCTGCACACACACAGCAGCTCAGCAGCAGGAGCGGCACCGCAGAGGTTCGAGCTCCCTGCATCTCTGCCGAGCGTCTCATGGGGCACGCACTCTTCGACCAGGGTGTATGCGCATGCAGAGGCGCTCACGCAAACATATTCACCCCTACGACTCACACACACCTACGTACTCAGGCAAACACTGGCAGGCAGGCAAATAGGCAGCCTCTTTCACCGTGCTGTAGAGAGGGCTGAAGAAACCTGGGAAAAGAAAACACACACATAGACAAAAGATAGCGTTAGTAGTCATATCTACACTCGAAGAAACATAAAATGCTGTGCATGTGGGTACGGCGACTGAAAATGCCACCTTAAAAAAGTTGAAAAAAACTGGTTGAGCGCCGCAGTTTAAACACGTTAAACAAGCTGATGTGGAGGATTTCACAAGGATGACGACAGAGATATGAAAGAGACACCAAGTGCATTCGCTCAATAAAATATTGGAGGCTTTTGTAGATCATTGACGCTCAGTGAAAACCGGGCCGGCTCTCCATGTTGCAAAGTCTTGCAGTCTGTAGAGTGTGTGAGCAGCAGCTGCCAAGTCTAAACTCAATGACTGAAAAGTATCATTAACCAAACAACGACTGTCAAACAGAGCTACGTGCCGATATGACGGGCAAACACTTGGGGATTAAACGGCGATGTGGCGCAATCCGGACGATAAGGTGTAAAACCAGTTTAAACAGCAGAAGCACCTGAGAGCAGCCAAATCCACGAGAGGAAAGATTGTGAAACATGATCATCTCTAAGATGTGTGTGTGTGTGTGTGTGTGTGTTGTGAATGCCAATGTTGTTCGGGCAGAACAAGACTCCTCTTCTAGAGGAGTGAAGGGAGGGATGGTGACAGGGTGTGTGTGTGTGTGTGTGTGTGTGTGTGTCACTATCACACGCACTAGTGCACACACCAACACTGAGAACAGACTAACTGTGTAGCATCACCGACCTTATCCAGTTTTATTTGGAGGAATGGTGACATCTCTCTTTCTCTTACTCTCTTTCTTTGTCTCTTTCAAACACACACACTCTCTCGCTCTCTCTCTCTCT